TGCACTCCATGGCCCCCACGCACATGAGCAGCTGGCACATTTTTCAGACTTGCTCTGAAGTGTGTAATAACCACACCAGGAATTAAGTTCACTCACACTCGTGTTTGCCTCTTCATGAAGTGAGGGCAAAGACACCCTCCAGCCCGACCACAGCTGTTGCTGCTGCTGCAACACAGCTCCCGCCCAGATACATCTGACCCAGGAGCCAACCCTGGCCCTAAGCCACTCACACACGATGCCGTAAGTGCCTTCCCCAATGCGGTTCAGCTTCTCAAACTCTTTCACGCTCCGGCATCGTCCCAACTGAAAGAGAGAGACGTGCTACCAGGAGGTCTCGTGCAGCGACGGAACTGTGTGGGGCACTTCACGTGCCATTTGCACCAAGGTGCTTGGTCGTGATTTTGATAGAACCCCTCCTTTTCCTCCCCATGCTCTAGAGCTCGCTGTCCCATACAGTGGACATTGGCCAGGTGTGGCTGTTTAAAGTGAAGCCCCAGTTCCTCGGTTGCACTACCCACATTCAAGTGCTCAAAGACTACACGTGTGGCTCATGGTATAGCTGTACTGGACGAGGCCGAAAATGAAACACTCCCATCACATCAAGCCTGCAGGCAGCTCTGTTTCACTTCTGCAGATAACGAGGTCTAAGGCCTTCATGAGGTATTTACCAAACACAGTGCAGACACTCCTGTGGCAAAGCCTGTGAACTGTCCCCCACATCCATATGTTACCACGGACACGTGACACGTGGTCATGGAGCTGGTGGCCCTATTTCCCAGCCTTCCTTGCAGCTAGAGGTGACCATGTGACAAAATTCTGGTCAATGGGATTGGAGCAGAACAATACCTGTGACTTCCAGATCCAGGGAAACTGGATGCCCATGATTCTCTCCAGCCTGAGGCAGGATGGGGTTTGGATGAGATGCAGGTGGGGCAGTAAAAGAGGAGTGCCCACCCCACCTTGTGGAAAACAGCTTCCTGTCTCTGGAATGTTAGGGAAGAGAGGACTAGAGCCCTGTTCTACCTGAGCCACTCTATTTTGGGGTCTCTGTCCTAAGAAAGAGGCTGTACCCTCGCATACTTTCATCATGTGGTGCACTCCTAGGGGAACAGGCCACATGAGCACCTATCCTTGGCTCTGAGAAGTATATGGAGCAAGGCCTGAATTGTAAAAACCCCATCAATGTCCTGCCTCCTTTTCTTATGGCCCCTGCCCTCAGGCCAGGTCACTTCCCAACACCAGTGGACTGGGTCCACAATCTCACCTTGACCTCCCTCTCCCAACCTGAATTCCTCTCCTGACATTCTCTCTCTCTGAGCAAGCTGAACACTGTGGTTCCTGCTCACATCCTATATTGCTCTGCTCCTGCCGCTCCCTGCATCTGGGACACCATCCCTCTCAACCCTAGATATCCAAATCCTACCCACACCTCTTGGCCCAACAGAAATGCCACCCTCTACAAGTTTTTCTTGTAGAAAAACCAGTCACTCCTTATAAGGAAGCCTGGGCAATCTTCTTCCGTAGTGATACTGCCTCGGAAACCTAAGGAGGGGGTCTCTTGAGTCGGATGTGACTTAACCGCCCTGAGTTTGGTTTGGTTTTGACAAGTTCTTCTCAGATTCCCAGCTGGAAGAAATTCCTTCCTCTACAATCCCTCACACAACTGTCTCAAGGCACCCACCACTGCACTCCACAAGGGCCCTGTCTGCGTGCATTTAGTTCCCTCTGAGAGGATAGGCTCTCTAGTGGCACGGTGGTTAAGGCATTTGGCCGCTAACCAGAAGGTCTGCGGTTCAAACCCCGCAGCCCACTTCACAGGAGAAAGACGAGGCAGTCTGGTCCTGTGAGGGTGTCTGCCATTAGAAACCCTATGGGGCAGTTCTAGTCTGTCCTACAGGATTGCTGGGACTTGGAATTCATCCATGGCAGTGGGTTTAGTTTGGAAAGCAGGGTCCCCACCGCTCACTGCTCTGATTCAAAGAGCACCCACTGCCTCGCAATGATGTGCAGTGACCAACCCACGGCCAAAGGCGGCTCCAGTCGTCCATTCAGCCACAATCGGCTAACCAACGTTATTGGACAGTGAGTGATGCAGCCACTCTGATGATCAACACGTTCGGTAAACACAACCCAAAGCCAGAGTCTAAACTTCTGTCCTGCTGCAAGCTGTTGTGGCAACGTGCCTGAGCTTCACCTGCCTCATCTACCAAGAGGAGAGTATCGGTGCTTGCAGCAACGGGTGACAGACAGGCCACAATGACGAAAACCACGCCAAGCGGAAGGACAGACGAAGCTGCCCAGTCACAGAGGGCCCTGCTGGGTCCCCTCCCACGTCCAGCGGGAGACTCCGCCCCTTCCGCTCTTTCTACCGTAATTCCCCACAGAGGCCGTCCGCGGCTCAAGCCCACGGAACTGCCGAGGCGCACACCAAGCCGGCAGCGCAGCCAGTTCCTGCGACCACTGCGGGGAACTCTGGGATCAACAGGCCCCGTGCCAGAAATCGCGACACCGACGCGATTCTGCCCAGCCCCGCCTCCGGCGTCGAGGGCGAGCTGCCCGAGAGGCTCCCCGTCGCACCCTGTGTTCCGCGGGCACCGTGAAGAAGCCTTCCTTACGGATGCACTTCAAACGGATCTGCTCAGACTCCGGCTCTGGCTCCGCCATGCTCAGCGCCGGCTCAGCTCCCGTGTGCGCACGCACGGACAGAGCCCCTCGGCACAGGCGCACAAGCTTCTTCCGGGGCAGCCTTTCCTTAGCGACCCGGGTTCTCCGACCGGCCTGAGGACCTCAGCTGCTACACAGTCTGATGTAGCTGCAGACACTCAGGGCCTGTGTTTTACCTTTAAGGACCGGCTTCTGACCCAGTTGGCTCACTGAGTAAAAGCGGTCGGAGGAAGGGTTCGGGCAACTTAGGCGGGACCCCGGAGGCTGGTGGGGAAGGGTCTGGTCCGACCCCCAGAGCCGCGGGAGTCTTTGAAGGGCTCCGAGCTGTCCTTTAAAGGCCGTCCTTGGAGCACGGGACTGGAACCAGGGAGGTCTTGGTGACCTGAGCGGGGCGCGTGTACGAGAGGTGTAGAAGAACGCCACGTGGGGACAGGGAGTCACCTAACGCCTGTGTGTGAGCTGGGCCTCGCGACATTGCCCTCGGGGACCTTCCTTTCTAGCGGGCAGTTCCCGCGGTAGGCGGGCGCTGAAGCGAGTGGGACACGTTGCAGCGGCTGCAGCTCTAAGTGAGGGCCGGGGAAGGCTTGGCTGTGTTGTAGGCACCAGGGAGAGAATGTGCCAGTCCCGGGGAATGCAGGGCCGCCGGAGGACGGTCCCCAGGGCCCTGGGACAGATCGAGGCAGGCCTCCCAGTCCGCTGTAGGCACTTTGCCTTTTGCTCTGCGGGCGGTGGGAGCCTTTGAACAGAGGAGGGGCCCTCTTCTGGCTCGTGATTGGACAACCCTGCTCCACCTGACCCTGACCCAAGGGACAGGGGACCACCATCTGGCAGAGGCTGCTGGTTGCTTCAGGCCTGAGCCTCATGTCTGGAGACAGAAAGGGCAGACCCGCCTGGCTTGGGTGCTGAGACCATCTCAGTCAAACGGGAATGGGGCGATAGTAGGCTGCTGCCGAAACTTAGGCAACGCAGAGGAGGCCAGCAGAAGTGGCTGGGTTGTCTGCTAAATTGAGAGGCTGCGGGAAGAGCGACTGGAGTGGCCCCATACGGCGGCCCTGACCACCTGAGGTCCCTAAGCGGTGGAAGGCGCGCAGTTCCTGTGCAGGGTGGGCCGGTTCAGGAGAGGGGCCCTGGAGCGCAGGCATATGCAAAGCAGCTTTCAGTCACAGACCAGCATTTTAACAAATTATGCTCCTTGTGCCAAACCATTCCCAGGAACCATTTAAAACTCAGTTACGCTAAGTCTTCATAGCTTCTTGCTATGCTTTCCTGATGATGAAAATTTGTCACAGTCATTCCTTACATTATAGAAGTGTGTTTGCATGTACCTGTGTGTACCTATGGACACGTGTACATGTGTATTATGTACTACGTATGTGTGTATGCGTGTGTAGTTGTACTTATGTATCGAAAACTGCCCAGGTCCTGCCCATAGGAGACGCCTCCAGCCCCTTCCCTGGTTCCTCTGAGTTGCATCCATAACTCTGGTGAACATTGCCACCCTGGGGCTGCACTGTCACCTGGTTCCATTAGCCCATCGTGCATCAGCAGTCTCGGACATGCTGGGTAAAGCCTGCCTACCTGTCTCTAAACGGTGAAGCTAAGTACACATTCACAGAGTAGACACGTGAGATGAGTGATACCTGGAGGCAGCTTGAGTGTGACCCAAAGGTTGCTGGTGGCGGATGGATCAGCCAAATAGAATGTCTCACAGCACTGGGCTCGGCTCCCCTCAGGGCCATCCCCAGTGGAGCTCTCGTCCACCAGCCAGAAAGACCAAAGTCATCAGCTCGGTTCCCTTCTCCCAGACGGTGCAGACACAGCACTTCCAGAGTACTCAGTGACATGGCTGCCCCACCTCCAACACATGGCATACCCACACTCTTTGTGTGGGTCCTTTAATAGTCAGGCCACAGTCAAGGTCAGAGCCCTTGGGCCTCTTTAAGGTGACTACACTTGTTCTCAAACATCACACCTTAAAGTCTGGGGACAACTCATTCACTGTAACGTCCTGTGTTTATAACTGTACTCCAAAGGTACAGGAAGGACGTCACCTGTTGACCATGGGTCAGAGCTTGAGCTGACACATACTCATCCCTCTGCACGGCCAAAGGCTCAGGGACCGACTGACTGATTCACTATGACCACGGGGCACTGTCAGGCAGGAGTCACTCAACTGCCCACACAAGGCTCTGAGCAGGTGAGGCTGAGATGGTCCCTAGGGTGGAAGCTGGTTCACTACGCAGCACCTGCAGCTCCTGCCATTGTCACTGAGATAAAGCCGAGGCCAACCCTCTTGCACTGCATTGTGAGTAACAACAGGACTCCATGGTACACGTTTATTCCCTGTTCTGTGAACTGTATGCGTCCACTGTGCTGGGGTTCCTATGCCGGGCCAGGGGGCCCCACCCGGCATGTTCTTTGATGGTCATTTGATCTTGGATTTCCGTGGAGCAGCAAGTGAGGAGGGTGTCGGAGGTGCGTGTGATAACGATTCGTGGGATGGTGATTGTCTTGCTTGACTTTGCAGATTCAGGTTTCTCTAGGAGGGAGAACAACAGGATCAGTATGTGAGCAGAAAACCTGTACTGCGGACAGCTGCTGGTTTAGGGCAAAGCACAGGAACTAGCTGCACGGATAGCAGGAAAAGCATCAGGCAAGGCTGGAAGCAGTCAAGGCACGTGAGGCACCAGGGTCGAGAGTGACATCCTCTTTCAAGAAAGAAGGTGGGAGAAACACGTTCCCTGCCCACTGTGAGCAGCCGGCTGGCTTCAGAGGAGACACAGGAAGAGCAGGGGACATGGGTAAAGGCAGTGTGGGTCAGAGGTCAGCGTTCAGATGTGCAACTCACAAAGATTCCAATTCTGCCAAGAGCTCTGTACAAAAACCTTATCGGCGAGAGTGCTCTAGATCTGCCATCCTGATACTGGCTGTCACGTTTTGTTCATCATTTTGGAGTTACAGGGAATGGACAGGACGTGTGGAGCATGGTGAACGTCACGAAGAACAAAATCAGATGAGCTTCACGCTCCGTGCTCCTCTAGGGGCAGGCACTGGGAAGAGCATGGTGCCCTCCCATCCAGGCTGTCGGAGCATGGTCAGCCTCTCCACACGTGTACACAAAAGTAGAGTCACGTGGGATACTCACAGTCACGCTTTTTACAAAAACAGCCGTACTGCTCATGTCCCCACTCAGTACGCATGAGCCTGGTTATATGGCTGGATGGACAGTCAGCTTTTGTCTATAGCCTGTATGTGCAGACCCTGGTTTGAGCTGCAGGCCTGGACTACCTTGCCTGGTCCACACATAGAATATGAAGCAGGCCCTTACAGACCCACATCTGACAAAGAAACAGACCTGAGAAGTCACAGCCCCATCCACAGTCACTTGTGTGAACCCCTGCATTGTGGCCCGTGGCTAGCACTGGGTGTCATCCTTCTATTTTTAAATTTATAATCATTTGCAAAACACTGCTTTTCATCGTATTTGGCATTTCAATTAAATTGAGGAGCTCATTATTTTCACATTGACTTATGATGGATTTTATGTGTGAAGATGATAAGTTGTATAATTATTAATGATGTAAGTGTTACATGCAGCATGCATTTCCCTGCATATGCCCTGAGGATCACACAATGCAAACTTCTTATTCTGAAATAATTAAAGATCCACAAAAGATTACAAAAATAGTACCACGTGATCCTGTGTCCCCTTCACCTGATATTCCCTGTGGTAACACCTTACATGACTATGGAACATCATAACCAAAAAACCAACATTAGTGCAGTGTGTGCATGGAGTTTTGTGCTATGGTATTACCAGGAGCCACAACTGCATCAGGATACAGAGCTACTGCATCACCACAAACAGCTCCCCTCTGCTGCCCCTGTAGACTTACAACCCTTTTCCCCACCACCATCCCTGCCCCTGGAGACTCACCCCTCCTCCCCACCACCATCCCTGCCCCTGGAGACTCACCCCTCCTCCCCACCACCGTCCCTGCAATGTGCGCTCTATCTCAATATAATTTTCTCATTTGGAGGAGGTTATATAAATGGAATCATACAACATGAAACCTTTTGAGGTTGGCTTTTCACTCAACAGGAGGATTTGTAATAGCTGGTGGAACAAATGCCACTTAGGCTTTTCTTGTTTTTGAAATTTTCTTGCAATTAAGCATATTCTGCCTTTAAAATAACTTCCTATGAAACATATAAAAGTAGAATAGTATAACCCATGTCCTGGCTTCCATCAATATTTTGTCACTTGGTTTTGCCTAGTTTCTTTTTTCTTTTTTTCAGTATTTTTAAAGCAATTCTCATATTGTATAATTTCATGTATAAGTAGCACATCATGGATCTGTCAGATAAGGATTTTTTTTTTAGAAGACCATGATAGCGTCGTCACACCTGAGCACATGGACAGCAATTATGCTCATCTGATGGTCTCAAGCCCAGCTGAGCACAGGTCCGCCCTGCTTTTATCTGGTGTGTCTCTAATCTCTGTAACAGCCTTTCCTCTCTGCCATGCCATTTATATGTTGAAGAAATTGGTTCACTTTTTTTAGTACAATTTCCAACATTCTGTCTTATTGCAAACTGTCTCACCCTTTATACCACTGTGTCCTCGTCCCTCCTCACCTGTCCCCACACCTCTCTACACATAAACCTTCATCCTGGCTGGAGCCTCCCTCCAGGTTCTGCTCCAGTCTGGGGGCTGTTGAAGGGATCCCAGTGGCACCAGAGCATGGCCAGCCCTCCAGAATCACAGACGGTGAGGAACAGGCTTTGTTAATCTGTTTCCCGCTGGTGCCCTCCTGACTGCTGACTATGTATTTGTCATCTGGGAACTTACCTTTTATTGAAACATTTCTGGGTATTTGCCTCCTACATCCTGAAACAAACCCGTTTCATTGTTAGGGTGTGCCTGTGCTTAGCCTATAGGTCTTAGAAATAGGTTACTAAGCTCCTTGATGTTTAGGCTTCCAGTGCTGGCCCCTCCTGGTGTCCCCTACCTTCAACTTCAGATGAGGCAGAAGACCACTTCTGCTCGGGTCTGGACGTCCCTTTACTCAGCTGGAGGCTCTCTGAAGACTTAGGGATGCTGTCTTGAGACCCCCTAGTTGCCTGCCTGGCCTCTAGGGAGTACCTCTCCAGCGCCTTCTCCTTGGAAACGGAATAGACGGACTCCTTCTTTTGCTCCGGAGCTGAAATATACAGATAATTGGACACTTGATAAGGAGATCTGGTGGCGCACTGCGTAAGGCAGTTGACTGCTAACCAGAAGGTTGGTGGTTCAAATCCACCAGCTGCTTCAGGGAAGGAAGATGGGGCAATCTACTTCTGTAAAGATTTATTACCTGGAAAACCCAATGGGGGTGAATGGGAACCAACTCAATGGCAGTGAGTTAGACTATTGTTTACTGAGTCTAGGGCAACAGGTCCTATTCTGCTTTAGCTGCCTGCCTGGGTCCAGAATGAAATAGGATCATGTGACACCCTCAGACCATTCTGTGTCCTGGAACAACATGGGTATTTCCCTTGGACTTCTGAATCCAGAGCGGAGAGGACCGAGAGGAGTGGTGGTGCGTCCCTCGGACTGGGAGTCGGCCCCTGGAGCTCCTGGTGCCCATCTGTAGTGACCTTTGTCGCTCTCGGCAGGGGTTGTCTTAACCGGATTTGGAACCCACCGAATGCCTCCTGTATACAGTGGTACCTGTGTACGGTGCGGTACCTGTGTACAATGCAGCCACGAGTGTACGGTGCAACTGCGGCAGCGAGTACCGCGGAAGGGACACGGGGCCGGCGAGTCACAGGCCCGTTACCTTTCCTGATATGGTGTTTGCTTTTGGAAAGTCCCATAGGTGAACCCAGAGCCCCTGCCGGCGCAGGTCGAGTCCCCGCACCTCCGTCCTGCGCTGGCACCAGCTCCGTGTGAGTCACAAACGGGACTCTCATCCCGGGGCGGGAAAGGAGCGCAGGCGCAACACGCAGGTCTCCATGGCAACCGCCACGCCACTCCTCCAGCCCGAGTGCGGCCGCTGGCAGCCCCGCCCCTCCCCGCCCACTTGAAGGAAGCCCCGCCCACGTGGCGGGCCGCCGTCCTTTCGCGAGACTGGGCGCTGTGCGGCCGGAAGCGGAAAAGCCGGCCCCGGAAGTTGCCATTGGGCGGAGCAGTTGGCGTGAGGGATCGTAGCGTTCCGTAACCCCGCTGTCCTCGGCTTCTCGGAGGGCGCCGCTGGCCAGCACCGGACATGGACGGTAAGAGGCCGCGGCGGCCGAGAGGAGCCGGGGCCCCGTGCCTCCCGCGGGTCGAGGCCTCAGCCTGGGCACCTTGGGGCCGCGGGGCGGGGCTCCGGCGGCCATTCTGATGCCTCGCTCTCGGCCCCTTCTGACGGCCCCCACCTCTACTCGGATCCCCACTCTTGTTCCCCAGCCCTCCTCGGCCTCCAGAAGCCCCGCTGTGCGACCTCGGGCTTCGGGGACGGGCTGCGATGACCTGCCGGCCTTTGGGGCCCGGGAATGTGGGATCAGGGCGGTCGGTCTCCCTGACGGTCTCCGGTTGAAAAGGGAGCTCACTATGGGTCAGGCACGGTTGTCAGCGGCCTCGCTCGCCGCAGCCTTCCCGACAGATGGGTCACAGCTGGGTCGGCAGTCACTGCGGGGCCCGGGCCCGCGCAATCCACCCCGTGCACCCTGCTGCCTCTGTTCAGACATTGGGGCGGTGGCAGGACGGGTGCCGAGGAGCCCCAAGAGTCACTCGTCGGGTGGAAGTTTCTGTGTTTGCCGAAATGCTTCCGGGCGGCTGCGATGGGTTCGGAAAGCTACTTTGTAAAAAGCTGCGTGACCGGGCCACGGCATCAGGGCTCGGTCCACGTTTTCCAGAGGGAAGAGAAAAGATGTCCTCCACCCGCCTCTGCGAGGAAAAAAAATACGTCCGGGAGTTTGCTCCGCAATTCGCCCAGCTCTGGGGGAAGCTGGTCTCCGGGGTTAGATTTCGCCTTGAACTTCTGCTCTGTAGTCACGCGCAGTTGCTCAGACTTAGGGAAAACTGAGGCTGGGAGGGAACCTGACGGGGTTTGGTCCTGGCCAGAGCCTGTCTGAACCCCAAGACCCTCAGCTGGGAACCCCCGATTTGCACAAGCAAACATCGAGCACCTTCACTCCGGCTTGCATGTCCTGTTTGTGGCTGGTGTGGTACAGGGATCAGAAGTCCCCTGGTCTCCAAATTCAGAAACTGAGTAAATCAAGATGTCTCCAACGAGAGTCAGAATCTGGCTAGCTCTTCAGCGCGTGAGCAAAAGTCTGGCTGTTAAAGGGTTTACCCACAAATACACTCAAGTTTTTTGGCCCTAAATCCGAATGGGGTAGGGCACCTGAGCTTGTACCGTGGAGGTGCACCTCCTGCCCCTGGGAGGGCAGCTCTGTGGCAGGAGAGTCACTTGTCTGCTGTTTTATCCATTTACCTTGGGGAAGAAAAAACGTACAAGCAGTCTTGGGTTACAAAGGAGATGTGTCCCTTTGTGTTTTTAAGTTAAATTTGTAGGTAAGTCAAAAAAGGTTCTTGTGATTCTTATTTAGCCTTAGTAGTTCTGATGGCAGTGTGGTTAAGGCATCAGGCTGCTAACCAAAAAGGTCGGCAGTTCAAACCCACCAGCTGCTTTGTGGAGAGAAGAATGAGGCAGTCTGTTTATGTAAAGACTTAAGCCTTGGAAACCCTATGGGTTACTATGCCTTAGAATTGGCTTTATGGCATTGGGTTTGGGTTTTTTTTTTTTTTTTTTTTTTAGTGAAAGAAAAGACTCAAACCCTTTTCAGTGATTTAAAAGCTGCGCATACAGCAAGTGAATTTGTTTCAAGTAAGGGTTGGTTCAGGAGCGCTCTGGTAGCGTAGTGCCTAAGCACTTGACTGCTAACCAGAAGGCTGGTGGTTCAGACCCACCAGCTACTCCTCGGAAGGAAGATGGGGCAATCTACTTCCGTAGTGATACTGCCTCAGAAACCCAAAGAGGGGTCGCTACGAGTCAGGTCTGACCCGACGGTATGTAACAACAACAAGGGTTGGTTCAGGGTCCCTGGTGGCACATGGTTAAAAGCTCAGCAGTTCAAACCCACCAGTTGCTCTGTAAAAGAAAGATGCCAGGTCTGTTTCCCTAAAGATTTACTGCCTTGGAAAGCCTGTGGGGCAGTTTCACAGTGTCCTGTAGGATTGCTATGAGTTGGAATCTACTCCGTGGCAGTGGGTTTGGTACTGGTTTGGAGGGGTTGGTTTAGTCATAAATTGAGGGCAAATTTACATAACATTAAAAGACAAGTGTGAGTTGTCTGTAAGTCGGACATCCATAACCTAAGGACTTACTGTTTAAAGGATGGATTACAGAGGGTTAAATCTTCCTAAATTGAGGAGAATCCCAGGGTCCTTTGTAAAGTGTCCTTGACTGGGAGGGTCTCATATTGGCCAAGCACTGCGTTCATCCTGTCACTCGCCCTCACAGCGGTCCTTTGAGGTCGGCTGGTGCCATTCTCGTGTGATGGGTGAGGAAGTAGGTTCTAGAAGGTCTTATTTGCGCAGTCGTCTTGCAGGCCTGACTGTTCCCTGGAGACGTGGTCACTGACTGATGTCTGTGTCCTGCTCCCACCCCACATGTCCAGAGGCCCACAGTGACTCCTCAGCAATAGAAGTCCCATCATGTTCCCAAACTCTCACACACTTCCTCTCTCGTTGCAGATAACCTGTTCCAGTTGAAGGTACGTACTGAGTGACTGCTCCCCCAGCCTTGTCCTGCAGCCATGGGTGAGGACAAGCCCTGTGAGTCACAGAGCCGGCACAGACTGGCAGTTGGGTGACCCACACCCTGCTCCCTCACATGCTGACAGCTTCAGAGGTCCAGAGGTCGGCAAGCTGGCCTGATGGCTTTTCTCTGTCTCTGGTGGGTAGGGGTAAATCCGTTAGGCTCGATCGTGAAGGAGCTAGTGCTTATCTCTAAGAAGCACAGCTTGGGCATTATGTGTCTTTCTGGGTGTGCTGCTATGCCTTCAAAAGCTGGCCCTAGATCCTCCAGTCACATTTGAAGGAGAACCTTCCAGACAGTAGGTGTTCCCTCTGCTCTGTGCAGGGGTTTGCGGTTTTCTAATTGACCTCAGGCAGATGTCTCTCCTGGTTCCCTAGATCCCTCCAGTTCATTTTCTGTATTCAGCTTTATCTGGTCTTACCACTGATTCTGAGAGCCTGGGCAGGAGTGGTGGTCCCAGCACTGGAACATGGTTCTGGGTACTGTGTGATGTGCAGGGCTGGGAATTTTGTGCTGCAGCCCAAGGGGACACTCCACAGGGACCATGCCTGGGGGATTCAGGGCCCCTGGAGGTCATGCCTCCCTTTCAGACTGCCTGACTATCTGCCCCACTGCTCCATCTAACAAAGGCTTGTTCTCTGGGGCTCTGCGAGTGCTACACTAACCCAGGGTGGGCTGCGGCATCGCTAGTGCAGAGGATGAATGGAGTTTGTAGTTCTGTTTAATTTTAGATGTTACCAATTTAAGTGGCCACATGCACAGGTTTAGAGTTTGGAGGAAGGAAGAAAAGGCCTAGGTGCAGCAGATTTTAAAATGTCTCATGAGTTTGACCGGAGCTCTGGTAGAGTAGGGCCTAAGACACCTGACCACTAACCAGACGGCTGGCGGTTCAAACCTACCAACCACTCCTCAAAAGGAAGATTGGACAATCTATTTCCCTAGTGATACTGCCTTGGAAACCCAAGGAGGGGTCACTACGAGTTGGGTCCGACTCGACGGCACATAACAACAACAACGAGTTTGAGTGGCAGGATCACAGTCTGAGCCAGTGTGGGGCCAGGGGGCGTTTGCCTGAGGGGTGGTGATGCACCTAGCAAGTAAGGTGACACTTCTAGCCACCGGTGCTGGCACTGCCAAGGCATCAGGTGAGCCAGATGCAGCTCCCTTCTGGGGTCAGCAGAGCCTCCCAGTGTGGAGAGCCTGGGGGCGCCACCCAACCGAGCATGGTAGGCATGGTACGCTGTGAGGATCGTGCTTCCAGGTGAATTCTGTAGCCTGCACAGCACCCATGAGTCCTTGTTGCATGATGAAAACCCATCTGCCCATGAGCAGAAAGTGGAAGCAGCATGCAGTAGGATTTTAAGGGTGTTTGTAGGCAAGACGGATGCTTTAGAAAACACTTCCTGCATACTCTCCCTGACAGCCCAGAACCCTGGGCGCATTTCCTTCTCAACCCCAACCCCCTCTGTGTTCTACTCCCCCACTTGCATGTGACAAGCCCCTGAGGGCAGCAGTGAGCGGGCACTGCAGATCCTGAGATCTGGACTCTGCCTCTCACTACTGTCCTTCCTCAGTTCACAGCAAAGCAGCTGGAGAAGCTGGCCAAGAAGGCAGAGAAGGAATCCAAGGCCGAGCAAGCCAAAGTGAAGAAGGTGAGGTTGCAGCAGACAGATTGCCTGCATGGCCTCGTGCTCCTGTGTCTTGTGCACTGTCCCTAGAGGCAGGTGATGTCATACCCCTCTGAGCACTGTACCTTGCTGGCAAAGTCACTCTCAGGACCTTGGGTTTGGTTCTATCTTGAGATTGTCTTGGCTTCTTCTCCATATGGAAGTTCTGTAACTACACTGTTTATTCCCTCTTTTTGCTTTGTATTTGTCCTCATTTACAAATTGATGTCTCTGGTTCCCTATTTTCAGTCTTGTAAGTTTATTTTACTTTGGATACTTCTATATCTGGTTTGGTTTCTGGGTTATATCATCATATGTGTCATCACGGTCCTTGTCTGCTGCTGTTGGTTTTCTGTCTGAAGGACACACTTTAGCATCTCTTGTAAGGTTAGTCTGGTTTTCACAAATTCCCTTAATTTTTGTTCATCTGGAAATGTCTTAATTTCACCATCATATTTGAGACAATTTTGCTGGATATATAATTTTTGGCTGGCAATTTTTTTCTTTCAGGGTTTTATATATGTCATCTCGTTGTCTTCTCACCTGCATGGTTTCTGCTGAGAAATCGGAGTTTAGTTTTATTGGTTACCCTTTATAGGTAACTCTTCATTTTTCCCAATCTGCTTTCAGAATTCTTTCTTTGTCTTTGGTTTTAGAATGTTTGGTTATGATATGTCTTGGTGATTTTCTTTTAGTATACAGCTTGTTTGGGGTACATTGAACTCGCATGCTTGTCTTCTCATCTTTCATCTTGTTAGAGAAGTTCTCTTCCAACAAATCTTTGACAGCTTTCTCTG